ATGGTAGGAGGGATTGGTTCTGGTGTTCTGTCGCCCTAGTTATTAGGATACCTACTGTCTGCAGCAGTTTGTAATATAGTCCAAGAAAATTGAAAGGCATCCTAAAGATCGCTAACATCCAGAAACGATAAATATTTGAGGAGATGAAAATGCAAATTCCTCTGAATTAATCATTGTATCTTGCATATGTATGTCAGATTATATTTTACCCTGAAATATATGCAAATGAGTCAATGAAAAATAAAAAACAAACTGCAGTTTTACATGTTGTAAATAATTTACTACAAGAAGCCAAAATACAAACATATGCCAAACTTATAAATAGCTGTTGTTATTTACACATAAATCTTCATAAAATACATTAGTTTTACAATGAGAATTCTTTTCTCTGTGGAGGGAAAGATTTTAATGAACCAGATAGCACTTTTTCAGTTTAAAAAATTTCTAGTAAACTAAGTCAATGAGATCAGAATAAAAATATTTAGTAAATGAATACTTCTGTAAAATAAACACTGTAGTATTGAATTAAAGATTGCAGAAGAGATGATAAATAACTACCCGAGATGAACTAGAATTTCACTGTTTACATACATCGTTAGGAGATGTTTCAGTATGCATGATTTAAATATTAATTAGACAGAAATGATCTTTCTAAACATATCACATCCTTAGTTCATCTACAGTGATTTTATTTCTTCTGGTTATAACAAATCATTCAAATTGTTCTTTGTTGTATGAGTTAGTGTTTACCTACATTATTCTATGAGAATATGTTGTAGTCTTCCTGGTCTTTGAAAAAGCCTTGCAGATACTCGCCACATGACTGTTAGGAAAGTACTGTCAGCTCTAAAGATATGCAGGTGTACCTGGTGTTTTCTGTTTGCCTTCCTTTCAGGTGCTTGGGTGAACTCGGGCCGAGGAGTGGTCAGAGACCAGGACAATCATTTAATTTGGACTTACGATGCTCCACACTTGGGCTACTGGGTGGCAGCTCCATTCCCAGGAACTAGAGGTAACTGAACAATGGAGAACGGATGCTGTGCTTTTTACCACCTGAGCGGTTTCTCACTGTAGGTGCTGTGGCCTTCTGGCTGCGTGGTCCTTGAGAAGGCCCTTAGTCTCAGCTTCTTTTATGACCAGCGCGTGTTTGCATGTGCTTTTTGGGGCACTATCCATGTGCACAACCTGTCTGACCGTCTTCTCACCCTCTCCCTTATCTGCCCCCATTTTCTTCCTCCTCTCCAAAAAGATCTTGTTTCCTAGCATCCTTTATATTT